TCGGTGTAAACCACTCAAGGTTGTAGGTAGGATGTAGCAAAGAGAGGAAAGGATGGGGAAGGAGAGAGGTCTTGCTAAATAAGTCCTTGTTACCTGCCATGTGCCTTCCCTTTGCTCTTCCTGATGTCTTCTTGCCTGAAAGACTCCTTACATACATCCCAACACACAGTCTTTGCATCCTAAGAAACCTCATTTCTCCCATTTCTTCCCACACCTGCTACATCCCTGCCCCTTTCCCATTCCTCTCATTTCATGCCCACTTACTAATACACCATGCACTCTCTTTTCTCCCCAGTCTGCCTCCTTCTCTCTCCTTGCTCTGTGCTTCCATCTGCCTGCGCTTTTGCCTCAAGCTTGAGTATTCCTTATCATGTCTCCTGTGTGACTATCTTATGAAAGGTCCCACCTCCCAAATCTGGATGGGCTTTTGTATTCCTGGAGCTATGAGACTCTCTGCATAGACTCAAAAAGGAAATGACAGAGAGGAGGGATAACAAAGTAGGGAAGGCTGACACTGGCATTGTCACCTGTATGGCACCTTACTTTATGATAGCCCACGCTGAGGTGTTATTAGCTGTGACTCATAGATGAAGAAGCCAGTGCTAAGGTTCTCATATTTGAGTATTATGTAGCTAATAGAGAATAAGGCTAAAGTCAGGGCTATAAAGCCCAATGGTCCATGCCTTTTCCAAAGTTTTCCACATGGTAAGTGCTGTATAAATTTTTTAGAAAACATTGCTTTGTAAACTCAAAGGGATACCAAATAAGGGTTTTCACTCTCTATCAGCCATCTACATATATACATAAGCTTTAATTCCACTATGGGTTCAAGGAAGAACAAGAAATAGACCCCCAGCCTAAGACAAAGCTGTAAAACACTGATGACCAAATAGGAAACCAGCAGAGAGACTGTCTTTCCAACTTTAGCAGTTTTACTCTGTTAACAGTAATGGATACAGTGTCTCAACTCATGGCATTGTCTCTTCAAGAAGCCCCTGAAGCAACTTGCATTACCCTTTTTTTTAAAGACAGGGAAGCTAAGATTTAGAGGGGATAAATGCCATGAGTAACATCACACCATCAGTTAAGTCCAACTTGGGCCGGTCGAGAGGCCCAATTCAAAAATAATGCTGCACCTTCACTAATTCTTGCATATGGTTGCTGATTCCAGAAGCAAAGGGTCAGTGAATGTCCCAGTGGAAAAAAGTTAGAATTCAAATGCCTCATTGAAGAAATGAGGAAATGAAAAGATAGAGATGGAATGATAGACTTGGGATAGTTGTACACTCCTGCAATCCCAATGCTAAGGAGACTGAGGCAGGAAGTTCTGGAGCTCAAACTTATAGAAACTTTCCCCAAAATAATTATCAACTACTTAACTAATAGGAGATTGAATGATAAGATCTGGTCACTAACAGGCAGACTTGAGATTCGTGGCCAGTATTTTCTACCTGCTATGTTTTTAAATTGCAATAAGGATCTAAGTGTACACATGTAATGAGAAGATTCTACTGACTTCTACAAGAGTGGTAGATTCATTTAGGAAAATACTATAAGCCAACATCTTCCACCATTTCTTTACAGTACTGAGGACCCACGCATATCTCCCCACCCTTCCCCCCCACCACAGACTCGTTATTGAGTTTCATGGTGACTGGCCTGAGAAGATTAAAAAAAGTAATGCTACCTTACGAGGGAGTGTCCCATGGACCAAGATAGCAACTGCCATAGCAACGGTCACACTGCTTTGATCAAGAAGACCCTTTGAGGAACTGAAACCAGAACCTTAGGCACATCTGTTGCTTTCACTCCCATCCTCCTCCAGTAGGCTGGGTGGTGCCCTCCACACCCTTTCAAGTTTCCAAAGCCTCACACACCTGCCCCGCACCCCAGCACCTGACCAAGGCTGTATCCAGCACTGGGACGAAAATGACACCAACCTCCATCTTGTTTGATATTACTCTATCTCAAGCCCCAGGCTGGTCTCCAGTCCCAATGCTCTTCCACTGTCAAAGCTCACCTTGAAATAACCAGTGCCCTTGAACAGTTCTGATGTAGTCACTGGGCCGATATACAATGTAAGGCATGTGAAAAAGATGTTTCATGAGGCCCAGATAGGTTCTGGAAGTACCAGAGAGCAGCAAGAAATAGTTGTGCTAAATAATTTGGTCATCTCAAGGCTGAGAGACTTGGAAGGATAGGGATGGACTTCAGGATAGATGTCAGAAAATTCCCCATAGCCCACAACAGAAGTATTCTCTTCATGTTATTTCTCTTTTCCATCCATGTGTATGAACATCCTCATATCCATTCACCCAGATGTTGGTTCCTACCCAACTCAGGTTAAGTCATATGTCCTTCACCAAGAAAGCCTATCATCCAGGAGAAGAAAATGTGTGTTCGGATATGTGAGTAGTCACTTTCATTCATTTTGTGGATTTTTGTTTCTTGTTTAGTTTTTATTTTTGTTTTTTCAAGACAGGGTTTCTTGTGTAGCCCTAGATGCCCTGGAACTAGCTCTGTAGATCAGGCTGGCCTCCAACTCCCAGAGATTCACCTGCCTCTGCCTCCCAAGTTCTTGGATTAAAGGCATGAGCATCCACCACCTGGCTTGTGGATGGGTTTTGAGGCAGAGTCTCATTATGAAACCTAAGTTGGTCTCAAACCCACAATTCTCCCACGTAAAGTGATTACAGATATGTACAACCACACCGGACTTCATTGCAGTCATTGGTGTCTCCATGCAAGTGCCACTGGATTTTGTTCTGTGAACAATATAGTCAACAAAAAGAAGTTCCAGTGTTAGCGAGTTCGCAGCCTAAAGTGAAAACAATCATCATCCCGAAGTTGCAACACAAAGTAGGTGGATATGGGTGAATTATGGAGACAGTTCTGCAAAAGCAAGCTACAAAAAGGGGCATGCCCCACCTGCCAAATGCTAGCCAAGCTAGGAGCTACCTGGAACCAAGGGCATTCTCACAGATCATTCCAATGCTTCAGCCCTCTGGTTGAAAAGAGGTCATGTGGGAGCCCATTAATTACAAACTGATTTTCTTTTCCTTTGTCTTTAGTTCTCTGGCTATATTAAAGCAATATCTATAAAAACCTCTACCTCAAAAAAATAAAATAAGTAAAAAATCTCTTCCCCAGGGTCACTGTGAACAATCAGTGAAGTACTAAATAATCTGCTTAGTATAGGATATGGTGTAGCACATGTGCTCAAATCTTTTACAGTCTCTTTTTTATTGATCTGTTTGTTTGATGGTGTGATTTTGTTGCTGTTGCTGTGCTTATTTGGTTTTTGAGACAAAGCCTCCTTTTGTATAGCCCTGACTGACATAAAACTCACTATGAAGAACAAGGTGATCCCCCTGCCTCCACCTTCCAGTGCTCATATTAGAGGCATGGGGCAGTGCATGCTTTAGTCTTAATTATTTTTTTCTTTTGGGGAGGCATTGAGATGATATTTCTCTGTATAGCTCTGGATGTCCTAGAACTCACTCTGTAGACCAGGCTGACCTCAGACTCACAGACATCCACCTGCCTCTGACTCCCAAATTCTGGGATAAAGGCATGTGCCACTACCACCCAGATCATATTCTTAATTATTAACAGGTCCTTGGGAGTCCATCGTGAAGCTCAAACATTATCCCAGTAGTAATCCCACAAGGAATCCTCCAATTTAGACTAAAACATTTGTTTCCCCCAACATACAATAACACACTTAGCAATTTAATAGGAAAAAGGTGATTTTTTAATAAAAAGTCACTATTGGGAAGATAGAGAAAATGAAGCACAAGGTGAAGATATTGTTTGCAAGTTCTGTGTCTGACCCCAGACTTAGGAAGTTTGGTCAGCTCCTCATATTTTCCCCCATACACACCATCCAGTGCCATAAAGGATCTTAGGAAATGTTGCAGGATTAAGATACAGCATGCATGTCCCAAAAGACTAATATTAAAGAAAAAGAGAAATGTGCTTTCTAATCATGAGCATAGAGTTTCAAGAAATCCAACCACCCAGCTCTCTTCCCCACCAGGACCATGGGTTGAGTGTGTGCTCTTTACCCTTGTCGGTAAAGAGACCCTGAACACTAAAATATCAAACACTTGTTGGCCTACAAAGCAACTAAGACCTGCCCTCCTACCCACTCAGTTCACAGTCAGGGAGTGGTGGTGTGTTTACTGAAATCCTAGGATTTTTTTGGCCTTTCTTCAATATTTTAAAAGAACCAACTAACAATGCAGGTAGAGGTGAATGAAAAAAAAGAAGAAAGAAAAGAAACCACCTTGGGGAATTAAGACGTATTTGACACAAAAGTTATGATAGTTATAACTGTTTTCCCCCACGGGCATTCCTGAAGTTTTTTGTCTATAGATGTGACTTGCACAGCAGAATCAGAGGAATATTGGGAAAGGCACTCTAGGACCTGGAGGAAGTGGCAAGCCCTGCACTTCTGGTGATGGAGCACGACCCACACTCAGCACTCACTTTCCTTCGGCTCAGAGCCTGTCTCCAGACAAAAGCTCAAATGTGTTGCCTGGGAAGGAGGAAGAGGAGGAGGAGGAGAAGGGCCTCTGACCTGCTCCTATTCAGTTCACAATGTTCTTTCACAGACTTAACGATCTACATAGGGTTCCCATTACATAATTTCTTTGTCATAAGACAAAATCAATCTAGACATGAGGAAATTCTGGACTGAGGTTCACCAGCCAAACACTAAATCTAACACCCTCTACAGTTGTCCAGTGTCTTCCCTCTCTCTCTCTCCTTCTCTTTCCCATCTCCCACCCTGCCATGCCACTGTGTGTGTGTGTGTGTGTGTGTGTGTGTGTGTGTGTGTGTGTGTGTGTGTGTGTGTGTGTGTGTGTGTTCTGGTTTAGTTTTTGTTTATTTGGCTTTTTTGAGACAGGAGTTCATGATGCAACCAAGCTGGCCTCAATTTCACAATCCTGCCTCAACCTCTTGAGTGCTAGGATTACAAGTGTGCATGCCACCATCTCAAATCTTTCTTTCTTTCTTATTTACTTCCTTCTTCCTTTCTGAAACAATTGAGAATACCCTGTGGATGTGGGTAAGAGTATTCATGAACTATTTTATTGTGGGTAAGAGTATTCATGAACTATTTTATTTAGCAAGTTAATGTTTATGCTTTAGTTCTACAATATGCACAATTAAAATCTAAATGACTATATGGAAAGGATTTTTTAAAAACACAGGAAAAGATAACAGAGGTGGAAATAAGGGAAATGGTGGGAGGTTACAATGACTGAGGAGCTTGGCTGTGGGGTGGGGGATGAGACTGTGTGTTGCCATGCTTGCCGCCTGCTCTGCCACTCCATATACCACAATCCGTTGTTAAATGACATGCTTTTGGAGACTCCAGTGATGATGTTGACCAAAGCAGATCACACCAATATGGAAAGATCCCCTTGGATTATTACAATAAGGGCATGATCCACTGTAGTCAAAGGGTTGGAAAAGCTCACGCTTCACAGTCCTGAAATGGCTTGCCTTTGACTTGTTTACATCTGCCCTCCATTCCATGCATCCTTTTAGGGTTGTAAATGTTGAAGACACAGACGGAATCTTCTAAGTATAACTATTTGAAAAGTATCAAAGTCCTAGAACTGTAGAAGCAAAACAGCCATATGTGAAAAATAGCAGTGCCCAAGCCCTATTGCCGCCACACCAGCATAAGTGCATGCAGGCATAAACTCATGCTTTTGTCCAGACTGCTGGTCTGCTGCTGGCTGCCCCACTCTCAACATAACTGTAGCTTTCTAATACACTGTTGTTCAGAAATACAGTGAGCCCTAATTATCACATAAGAAAAAGGGAAGAATTTCTTCTTTCCAATCTTATATCCTGTTACAATAGATCTTAAGTGACAATAAACAAATTCCTAACCTTTGTTTCACTGGCCTACTTGATATGACAGGGTCAAATAACGTTGTCACCCGGACAGATACATGGAATAGGGTTAGAGAAATGGCTCAGCATCTAAGGCATGCAGCGCTCGTCCAGAGGACTTATATTTGCTTCCCAGATTCATGCAATGCCCCCAAAATAATGAGACATGCATAGCTTCACTATGACACCATCAAATCTGCTAACTTCAACACTCCTATAAGCTGTTTATCTTCAGGCATGTCTTAACAATGAAAGCTTGGCTCTCCTTCCATCTGACCTGAAGAGAGACATCTTACCTAGAGCATCTGTAATGAAAATCTCCTACCATCCTCCCCATGCTCACCTTCTCCCTGACTTTCCATGTCAATATTTATTAAATACCACCCATCATATATGTATTTGACTTGTGCAAGCTCCAAGTATTTCCTGTTAAAATGCAAACCTACTGGACCCAGTAACACAAACTTGAAATCCCAGCTTCTTGGGAAGCTGAGGCAGGAGGATATCACATTTAAGATTTGCCAGGATTGCAGAGCAAGTTTGAGGCTAGACTGGTCAAGTTAGTGAAACTGTCTCAAAATCAAAAAACTGTATTTTAAAGGCTGGGGACATAGTCCCATGGCAGAGAACTTGCCTAGCATGTATATGGCCCTAGATTTAATCCCAAGTACCACAAAACAGTAATTACATAATAACAATAAATTTTACACAGCAAACTTATATTTCATAATCTCCTGAGGGGCAGAATCTATAGTCCATTAAGCAGAAACTGACACTGTTCTCTTGAAAACAACGCACTAAATCATTTAATGTAATTGTAATTGCAGAGACAATGTATATAAAATCATTCTTGATTTCCAAAGTTCAGCTTTGAATTTATCTGCCACTCATTGGAAACCTGAACTGGGATTTTTCACACCTTGAACCTTATGTAATTTTATAGCTGTTACAGAGCTTTGTAGTAGGCATAGCACCTTGGTCAGACAAGCACTTGTTGAGTAAGTGAATAAATGAACTAAAGAGTTGTTGACATCTGTGGGCCTATGTTTGTCAGGATTTATAGAGTTGTTTTTTTGTACGCATGGGTGTATTTATTTGTTTTCTGGGTACATTGATTGACAGTGTGACATTATTACCCTCTGTTTACAGGTGAAGGAGCAGAACCATCTAGAGACTCACTCAAGTGGAAGTCACTTCCCACACCTGCCCGAGCATTCAGGTCTTCTGTACGTACAATCAATTGCCTGGATCAGTGTCGCCAGCTTCTGAAGCATCCTGCTGCACAAGCAATCCGCTCTCTGCTTATTTTCCTACTGTCCTTGTGTCATATCTGTGCATTGTTGCCTAAAGCTCCAAAAGGAAAGCAGACTGTACCTTCTGGAGCCAGGCAGCCTAGAAATTACTTCTCACTTCTCCTGACTCTGGATAAACCAGTCCTATTCTACAACCCAACCCTCCACCCAGTTCCATGGCCACATGCACCACCTCTGAGTACACATGGTCATTTGCTATTGAGTCAAGAGGGCAAGACTACTCTGAGGGATTTGGTCCCACGTAAGAGTTCATTAAGTTGGCAAACAGGTGTGTGTGTGTGCAGAAAAATAAACAACCTCATTTAATTATAAAAATAAATCTTTTTTAAACTTTTCAAAATGTATTACAATATATATAAAAATATGACCAGTAAACAGTCCAGATCTATTAAAAAGTGACTACTGTTCACTTGAGTTACAACTGTTTTACAGATACAAGAATCTAGGCTAGAGGCCAGGTGTGGTGGTGCATGTCTCACAGCGTGGCCTGGCTTACTCGGCCTTGTCAGCAGCTAACATTAAAAACCCAAGATTAAAAAGCAAGGCTCAAAACCTTTTCCATCTCACTCTTTCTCTACACTCATAACCTAAGTTAGGACAGGAGACCTTGAGAACCTGCCTGTGGTATAAGAAATGTCCATGAGCGTCCCCTCAGTGACAGAAAGGCCAGAGCATGCCAGCCATCCTGTTTAATTCCTAATTCAGGAATTTGATCACTACATTCGCTGGCACAAACACTCATTGACTTGGGGGATGATTTCATTGGACAAATTTCCCTGGGTTGGCTTGGGTTAAACTGATGTGACTTGAATCAAACAGCTAGAAGACTGACAAATGTCACAGTTGTGCTGTGTGGTCTCAGATTCCTCTCTTTGGCAGGAACCCAGCTGTTCAAGTCTTGGAAGGGAAAGCCCTAAGAAAGCACTGTGGCTACTACCGCATACAGTGCTGCATGGAATCAGCACATTGCTGAAAAGCCAGGCTTCTCAAGTTTATAAGTTCTTTTGAGAGGAAAGCCTCCATCAGTCAAGAATGGAGAGATGTTCCAGTGGTTAAAGCTCTGCCACGTGTGCAAGCATAGGTCCCCAGAAGTCAGAAACAGACACACATGCACACATCTGTAATTGCAGCACTCTTCCAGTGACATGGGAGGTGGAAACAAAGGAATCCCTGGAAGGGCATGGGCCAACCAGCCTCATGTATGTAATGGCAAACAAAAGACTCTCCCAAAGCAAAGGTGGGGAGCAGCCCCCAAAGTTGCACTCTGACTTCCACATAAAGCAATATGTGTCTGAATTCACATCCAAATACACAAATTATGCACACACACGTGTGTGCGCACACACACGCACACACACGCACACCACACACAGGCTTCAAGATGAAGATGTAAATCTCCCCATTGTCTACTTGGTAAGTTGAGAGTTGCCATACTGCTTTTTTTCTTCTCCTTTCTTTCTTTCTTCTAAAGGATTTATACCTCTATAGAACTGACTGTTCCCTAGAAGAACTGGGCATATTTCCAATGGAACAGTAAGACAAGTTCCTCAAGCCTGACATTAGGGCTCCCAGAGCCTCCCCTTCCCTTGGACTCAATGCTGGGTCTACAACCAGCATTAAAGAAAATCTGGGAAAGCAAACCCATAGCAAGACAAGCAGGAGACAGCCCCCTCACCCCCTGTGTATGTTGCATCCCACGTTCTTAAAATCATCCATCCAAGGCTAGCACACAATGAAAGCCAGAAAGGAAGTTCTGCCCCCAGAGATGGATGGATGGAGCCCTCAGGCAGGGACTGCTTCATTATTCAACCCAGTTACTATTCAATATTTGTCGATTACTAAAAAGAAAGTCTTTTAAATCCACCTATAGATTTCTAACCCTAGCATCTATGACTCAGTTCTCACATCATGTTCTTTTCTGATATTTATCTGCATATTCCACCCATAGCCCCTGGATCAGCCACAAAATTACAACTTTATGTTCAACTCTGCGCACTCAGAGCACTTGTTTCTACCAAGGCATCGCATTGATCACCACACTGCACTATTCTCATTCCAGCAATCCATAGCTGATCGGCCTTCTCTCTGTTGTTACAGATCATAGCTGTGGCCTTGGCTTTTCCTAGAACCATCAGCTATGCTGGCTCCTCGCAGTCTCCATCATTGTGAGAATTCACCTGCTCTGCCTGTGGTATGTTTTATGCAATTCATAAATTGTTCATTTCCTAACAATCTACTTTGTAAATGTTTCATCTGTATTCATTTGGTCTCATGAAAGCATTGCTCACTTGTTTGATAATGGGCTGGAAGTGTAGCCCAATAGTAAAGAGGTGGCTGGAGTTTCCAAGGACCTGAACTTGATGACCACACGACAATAAACAGACAAATAAATTGAAATCAGAGAGCTCATCTCAAGCGTTTTCTAACCTCACAGTTAATCACTAGCTAGTACTCACAGCAGAGGAAATGAAGCTAACCTTTTGACCCAGAGTAACCATCTTCTTTCTGCTTAGCCAGACACTTGCTAAAAAGTGCTGTGCCTTTTCTCTCTCTAAGTTCCCATCTGGTGCGGAGCATGGTGGCACATGCCTTTAATCCCAGCACTTGGGAGGCAGAGGCAGGCGGATGGATCTCTTTGAGTTCCAGGAAAGTCTCCAAAGCTACACAGAGAAACCCTGTCTGAAAATAACAAACAAACAAAAAATTCCCATCCCGACCCTCGCTGTCTTCTTTGTAAATCAGTAACAATATCCTTTTCTTGAAGTTGTTGTGGAAATTAGTAAACTTTAATGAATATCCACCTTTTACAGTACAATCTCTCAAGATGTTGAGCTTCTGAGAAGAATCCTAAATGTTTAAGCTAAAAAGTAAGAACAGTTGTCATGGAAACATCCATCCCAATTTTTAAATTGGATCATCTCTCATTTCCTGTGATTCTAAGCACACATATGAGCATTTAATCAAGCTTTTGAGTGTATCTAACCATTGTAGGGTGACTACAACAGGGTAAACTCGGTGTTAAAATGGTGAGACAAGGGATTTTAAACATCAAAAACCATTGTCAGCCCCAGCTATTCCCACCAGAACAGCATGGCTGGGATAATCAAACTAGGCAAGAGAATTCCAAAACCAGAGTCCTAATCAGAAACACAAGAAATCAAAGATAGGAAGGAACGTAACACCACCAAGAACAGGTGCTGTTTTACAAACGGAGAAACTAGAGAAGTCAACAGAGAAATGAAAGAGCTCACAGAAGCCAGGAAAATGCCACAAGGAAGGGACAGATCATCACTTCATTAATCTGAACACAAGGTGAGGAAGCCAGGGGTTTTCCACCATGCCACATCACACAAAAGAAAGCTTCTATTTTAAGAGCGCAGCCCTGCACCTGTGCAGCGCAGATGGACTTTGCAAAAGAAGAAATGAAAACAGACTTTTCTCACTGCCAGGCTGGCGGTGAAGGAGCAAGACACAGGCTAGATGCGTAGCAAGGAAGGAACCAAGTTTCGCTGTCATGCAGGTCATCCAGATGAGAAGTCTTTTGCCTTAAGATTCCCAATTTGTCTCTCCTCTAGTTTGTCCCCCACCACCAAGGGGAAAAACAAGGCAAAGTTGTGGGGGAGAACTGTTAATATCCTGGTTCCGGTGTAGTCCCAACGTTCACTGATTGAGCAGAAAGAATAGGAAATTCAATTCAAGAGGGTCCAGCACTGCCATTGGCCAGAAACAAGGGGCCTAGGGCTCTGTGCTCCCTGCTCAGCAGCCAAGAGAAAGGAAACAGGTTGGACTTGAAATGGTGTGTCAATAAAGGAAGGAAAACATCTTAACCATCGTGTCTTCAGTATAACAACAAACTGCAGTGGAAAAATAGCAAACTGTAAAGCCAGAAAACCTGATTATGACCTTGGCTCTTCCTCAACCCAACTGACTAGTCTTTACCCAATTGCTAAGATTAACTGTACCTCAGTTTCCCCACTCTTAAGTTAATAACAAAGCACACCTCTGAATGAGTTTATAACTATAGTGACAAGAACAGCACCTAAGGCAGGATCAAGGGGAAGGTAAACGGTTTTGTTATTTTTGATATTACTTATTTGGTCACACACACACACACACACACACACACACACAAGTATGCCACAGCACACATGTGAAAGTCAAAGGACAACTTGGGGGAGTCAATTTTTTCCTTCTACCACATAAATTCTGGGGATTGAACTTGGGTTGTCAGGCTTTGTAGCAAGTGCCTTCACTCACTAAGGCACTTTGCAGGCCTCTCTTATTGTTATAAATTCATGTGAACTCTACTTCAAAGCTCAGATGAGAGGCTTCACTGTTCTGTCTTCACACCAGAATATAAACAACAATCTCATCTAGCCTCTAATCAGTGACACACAGACCAGGCTGCACTATCTGCCTCCCTCTGAGAATCTGCCATTCAAACAGGAAGATTTTTCAAAGTTTAGCTGAAATCATGTCATCCGACCATCTTTCTCTATTAAAACCTGATGAAGACTTACTGTGTACAATTTTTTAAAATCTTCAAACTCAATTCCTTTAGAAAAATAATAAATCAAGGGGCTATGGAGACATCTCAGTGTGTCAAAAATACTTGTTGTGCAAGCATGAAGCCTTGAGTTCAAATCCCCGATGCTCACATAAAAATGATGAAATCAAAAATCTCAACCCAGGGCCTGGAGAGGTGCCTCAATGCCTAAGAGCGCTTACTGCTCTTGCACAGGACGCAGGTTGAAGATTCCAGCACCCACATCTGGTGGCTGTCAATCACCCATAACTCCAGGAGCTCACATCCTCTTGTGGCCTCCATAAGGATCCACACACGTGTGGTATAAACATATACACAGACACACACACAGACACATAATTGTTTTTAATATCAATTCAGAGCTTGGGATAGAACTCAGTAAGTAGAGTGTTTGGCTTGTTAGTTAATCCCTAGGCCCCAACTAAATTAGCCAAGAACAGTGAGTGACACACTCTTGTAATCCCAGGACTGGAAAAGCTAGATTCTTGGGACACCCTGGCAAGCCAGGCTGGCCTTCTTGGTGAGCTCCAAACTCATGAAAGTACTTGTCTCAAAAATGTAAAGGTGAATGGCACCTGAGGTTGTCCTCTGGTGTACACACATACACACATGTACCTGCACACACACACACACCATATATATACACATAAGGAAGGGTCCAGCTTTTGCTAAGTAACCTCAGAAATTTCCACATTTGTTACCTTACTTAAGGAATGAGTACTTAGAGTTAAATTTGGTAATTTTTTAAGGATCATGACTAAAGTAAAACAGAAACAGTATATATAGTTTCCTTTCATTGATGACTTTTTCCTTTGATAATTCATAAATACAAGAAACTACCATTTTTAAGAAAACAGTGCATTAAGACTATTTCGTGAAATGTTAAATAATCCTTCTTCTACATATCTATGCCTCTGTGTGTTTAGAGTTTATTAACTGCTACCCAGAATCTCCCAGTGCCACTGAGACAAATGAAGAGGCAGTGGAGAGGAGCAGAGGGGCTTTTGTTTGCTTGCATTTTTTGTTGTTAGTGGTTGTATGTTTTGGGGGCTTTTTGTTTTCTTTCTTCTTTGTTTTTTTAATTAATATTCTTATTTGTATTTTTATTTCTTAGTTTTATTATTTCTTTTTAAGTTTTCCTTTGCAAAGGGAGGATGCTACAATGGTGAAGAGCAGATATAGAGGGAATGGGAAATGGTATTAGGGTGCATGATGTGAAATTCCCAAAGAATCAATTAAAAATATGTTTTTAAAAGTTTTTTTTGTTTTTTGTTTAGGTTTGGGTTGTTTGGGGGGGTTGTTTTGTTTTGTTTTTTGTTTCTTTGTTGTCTTTCCAAGACAGAGTTTCTCTGTGTCGCTCTGGCTATCCTGGAACTAGCTCTTGTAGACCAGGCTAGTCTCAAACTCACGGAGATCCGCCTGCCTCTACCTTCCGAGAGCTGGGATTAAAGGCATGTGCCACCACCACCTGGCTAAAAGAGTTTATTACCTACAAATGTCTCCGTAACTATAAAGTAGTTGGCAGTCATGATTGAAACTTGTTGGATCTGTTTCCACTCTTAGACTAAGCTTTATAACAAGCACCAAATGACCACAGTGCAGTCCTAGAGAGCAGACTGGAGGCCATAATTGACTCTTCTTTGTTCACAATCTTGAACAACTCACTAGGCCCCCGTTTCCCAGTCTGTAACATGAGGCAATTAGTTGGATGGGTGACTTGTCTCTTCATGGCTAGCAAGCTGTTGTCTGTGCATGGCAATGTGAAGAATTTTCACAATCCTGTCTTTGAACACAATGTGGAAACAATCACCTTAACATGAAAAGGGGTCATGCAGCATTCTCTTTCAAGCTGATTTTTAATATGAAAAGGGTCATGCAGTATTCTCTTTGGATCTGATTTTTTAAGTTTTACCAAATAAAGAAGCCCTTAGAGAAATACATCTGTACAAAGAACTGACAAAGAGGAACTAAAATGGCAAATGGGCAGAGTCTGTGATGCGGCTTGACCCATGACCCATGACCCCTCAGTGCTCCTGACCTCCTCAGACCCTGAGGAATATCTGATCCAAATCACACCTAGATTCCCAGACATCTCTAGAAAAGAATAGGAGGTGGTCCTGATTATTTAAGTAAAGCAGTTGTTAGGAAACACTCAGTAAGCCTAGAAATGCCTGGATATTCTCGCTTGAGTGTCAACAATTGGATAAAATTGCCAAAGCAATTGGTCTATTTTTCTTTGTCTGTGCTGACATAGACGATTAGATGTTTCAAAATAGTTAAGTGGTAGAAATAAAACTTTAGTTAAAAATGGATTTGAGGACACTTGTACCTGATTCTGGCTCCTCCCTACTTTGACACTGGGTCGTGTTCTTCATCTAAAAGCACCTGCCTATATTGTGTACAACATGGAGTAATGATCACAGAAACAGCACTTTGTAGTCAATTGTAACTGTATACAAGCTTCTGAAAATTGTTCAGAGGGATGGCAAGGATTCACTTTATGAGAAGCCTTTCCAGGTATAATGGACCATGGCCTGCTCTCCTCGTGAGCTCCATGTTGAATCTGTATTTACTCCATATTGTATTTACGTATCCCTATGTAATTAGAACAACAGGTCCAGCTTGCCTCAGCCCCCTCTTTCTGCACAGACACCTGCAATCACAGAAACAGAAAATCTGAGTTTCTACTTTACAGATAGAAAAAAGAAACCTTCCAGAATCATGAATTCAAGTAGGAACTCAGGCCATAAGTAAGGTCAGGAGCTAAATTGGTCATTTTTGCAATTCTCAGTAAGAGAACATCTGTAGAATTCAGTACCTGGAACTCCGTGTTCACAGTAAACATCAACACACATGCAAATTCATCTGTATCCTACTTCACCTGCAGGCTCTACTTTTTTTTTTAGAAGAGATACAGATGTGTAAAAATAAACTGCAAAATAATCTTCACCTGGTTGGAAAATAACATTTATGAAATATTTAATTGGTGCTATAAATCAACATGTTTTGAAAGAGAATTAAGTTAACACATATCAAAACCTATTAAAATTTCATCCCCCATTTAACTCAGTAAGTTCAAGAAATCTAAACATTGAACATGTAAATGCAGGGATGTGGATCCATGATTGAACTCTTGTCTGGCATGCTCCAGACTCCAGGTCCAATCTCTAACATTATAAAAGTATTAGTAATAAAATAAAAGAGCAAACATCAGTAGTATGCTAAGTGACTAAAAAGAGGAGAAATGGCCAAAGAAATATAGAAAATTATCTCAATGAACTTGCTATCATGTGAAAGGAAGCTTCCAAGGCCTGTGTGACAATATGGATAGCTACATGTTAATAAGACACTTGTAGCATTGAATTCTATTACAATCAGCCCTGTGTAAAACTGCAATTATTTAAAAATAAGGATTGAAAACAGAACTCAAACAACATGTAGAGCATACGTTGCATTAAAAGCAAATGGTAACGTATCTTCCTTCCAAATGCTTGTTTATTGCAACAGCGTTCACAGCGGCCAAGCTATGGATCTGCCTAGATGTCTATCAGTGGATGAATGGACAAGAAAACACAGCATATATACCCAATAAAGTTTTTTTCATTACATTGTGTGTGTATGAGAGAGATAGAGAGAGACAGAGAAAAAGAGAGAGAGATCTGTGGAGGTCAGAGGGTAACTTGCAGGAGTTGATTCTCTCCTATCACGTAGGTCCCAGGAGTCAACACAAGTCATCAGGCTTGGTGACAAGTACCTTAACCCACTGAGCCATCTCACCAACCCTTCCAGTGGAATCTTACTCAGCCATAAAGAGGTAAATTATGTTATTTGTAAGAAAATATGTGGAACTGGAAATCGTTATGTTAAGCGAAATAAGCCATATTAGGACAAATATCAAAATATAATGAAAGTCAGTGTTTTATACAATTAATATACACTAATAACTTCTTGATGTTGAATACTGTTTTATAATAAGGAGTATCGAGGAACTTTTACTAAGCAGAAGAGCTTGCCACTGTGAACAGTGGCAGCACAACTCCAACCTTTCTGTCTTGTTTTCAGAGATGGAGCCATTGTCTCTGGTGCCAGGCCCTCTGTGGATCATCTCACAGCATGGAGAACCTGCTCCAACCCCTGACGCAGAAAGCTACTCCCTAACCAAATATTCAGGCTAACAGCTTCCTAACACCTGGAATTAATGATCAGAAAGGTAATACCTCACTGCCTACAGCAAACCGAGCCGCCAATTATTCTTCATTGTCTAGCGAGATTTAAGCTACAAAAATAGGTTAAGCCATTCTGAGAATATGCTGTGCTTATAAAACTGTCTAGGGAGAATAAATTAATGAGACTATGTCTGGGGAAAGGTGCATGTTTTAATTAAGCCATTTCTCTCTAAGTCCTGCATGTGTGTGTCTGCTTGTTTCCTTGAGTATTTCCAAAACATGTTAGAGAAAAGAAACTAAAGATGAATATATGTTCTTACTGATTTGTCTGCTGGAAATTTCTTCAACTAATTTTTGAAGAAAACTGCATTGGCAAAATATTCCAACAGTACAGAGAAGCAGCCATGGAAAATAATCCTCTCTACTACCCCGTCCTCCAGACACTTTTAATAAAGCATTTTAACTCTAATGGAGAGCTTCTTAAGCCAATGAGTCAGACAAAGAACTGATTTTAAAAAGGGACTTTGTGAGCTGTCCTCGAATGGCAAAAGGACGCTCTTAAATTCTCAGCATCTGAACTGCAGAACCAGGTGACTCACACCTCCAACCTGGTCTACAAGTGAGACCCTGTCTCAAAAACACAACAACAAAAAATGACTTTGGAAATTCCTTTAGAATTATCCTTACTTATAAAAATTACAGCTATAAAAGAGATAATTAAGTTCAGAAAATTATTCAGCAAAGAAAAATGTGTTCTAGAAAACAACCCTGTATTTAATTGACTATTTTGAATCATTTCTCCATTGTCATTATTTATGCTTATATACAAACTGAGGACTAGAGGTGATCTTGTGGGGTGCCTACAAAAGGGTGCCCATGAACGGAATTTATAATCATTGAATGTTGGATACACAAAGTCAGAAACACAATCAAGATTACTCAGAGAAAAGATTTCTCTCTTCTTGAAACATTTCCATGCAGACACATTATACAGCAGTTTATTTTAGGGTTAATTTTATGCCCTGTGGGCTTTATTGCATGTAAACTATATCTCAACAAAATGAGAATGCATTTTAAAGGAAAACAAGAATTTGTTCTTGGCACTAGCCTAGAAATGCAAACCCCAGCTCTGCAAAATCCTAGGAATCACTAGTGTCAGCCTCTGCTAACAGTGGCAGCCAGGATAACACTTGTTCAGCAACAAAATCTTCACACCTAATGAATCCAGGCTTGTTTTTAAGAATTTGAATTAGCAGCACACCTGTATTTTGATTTGTTTTTGTTTTGGTTAGGATTTTGTTTTTGGTTTTGATTGATATTTTATTGTTTTTGTTTGTTTTTGCTGTGAATCAAACTCAGGACCTTGGGCGTAAGAGGAAGACGCATTCTACCACTCAGATGGTACCAACCGAATGTTATTTAAAATTTTATTTTGCTTACACGAAAAACTTCCTGTGTTGCAGCAAAACAATCTTCTCCTATACATGGTTTTAATTCATTTTCCAAAACACAAATTAAATGCTACAACAAACTACGGGAGTAAAGTTGGTGGGGGAAGCCAGGAAGTTAAGGCAGACTCTCTCCCATAGGGTAAACATGCAGGGGAGGAGTACTTGGAAAAGCCAAGCTATGAAGAGTTACAAAAGATTATCCTCCAGTCTCCTTAGCATCCCTCGGATTTTCAAACAGTTCCTCCCTCGCCAATCCCACACACAAGGAGAGCAACCTGTGAGGGCAGGGAACACAGCCTGGGTAGCTGTACAGGACGCAGATCTTGCCCAGTTTCTGCACAGGCAGCAGGTTGGCAGCACTCACTGTGAGAGCCCTAATGACAGCCCATAGTGTCCCTCATAGTGACAACCCATGATGGCTCCCCTAGGACTGCAGCTGTGCTAGATTTCAGCCCTGGTGTAGCTTTAGGATGTCCAGTATTTGAAGTATGACCCATTTCTTGTTCCCTAAAACAACCTCTTCTGACCCCTGATGATCTGTCAGTAGATGTCCATGGGAAAACCATTAGCCTGAAGGGCTTGTGGGGGTGAGAGGGCTCCAGGCAGGCAGAATTGCACACCAACCCATCCAGTGTGTTCAGCTATCGGTGGCTTCTTGACCTTGGGAGAGAAAAACAAAAGCCAAGGGCTTGGCAGTGAAGTGACAAAGCAAACACTCAAAATCTTCGCTGAGAGCAAATGTCCTCCGACCACTTCACAACATAACTCTAACTACACTAGCAGCTCTGCAGGTTAACTGGCCCAGGCTGTTGTCCCAGAGTCAAATGGTAGAGAAACACTAGAAATGCAAACATATTGAGAGACCTAAGGGATTTACTACGGGAACACCACAGTGGGCTTTATGGGGCATGTTTTATCCGGAGCTAGGAGCACTAAGCACTTCAGTTCGAGTCCCTTTAGGGCACGCATAACCAGTAGAGTAAGGCTTTCTGGTGGATGGGCACATCAATGAGCATGCGCCAGATACCCCAAAGGGACCAGGAAGAACCCGGTGAGCTCCGGTGGTATTCAGCTTAGCTTTCTGAGGAACCATGGCAATAATTTTCCCAAAGAGGAAGGACCGCTCTGAAATGAAGACAGAAATAATAGACTTTTAGCGAAAGGGACTGACAAGGCCACACATTTCTCCAAGATGCTATTCTGCTGTGGCCACAGAAATCCCAGCCCAGCCTGGACAAGATGCCTTGAAGTGCTGGGCTAGAGCGCCCCCTTCTGGCCACCGTCTTGGGGTACACCAAGCTCTGAGGCCGCTGGATCCTTTGAAAGATAGACTAAAATGTCACCATTTAACTCTGTCAAGGCCATCATTACATTGGCATTAACCTCTTTAAAATGTTACTTGGTATTTCACACTCACACAACCTTCCATTTCATGTTAATAATATCGTTTAGGTTCTTCAAAGAAAACAGGAAAATAGGAGGCAGCTATCAACCCATTAGTAAAGACAACTATTTCTAACATCATTTAGTATGTATCATTTTTACATAGTTGAGACCATGCTCTGCAGTTCTCATTTTCCATCTACTTCCGGTTTCCTTGCCTTGCCTTGGTCCCCTTTCCCACTATATTGGGCTAATGAAAGCACTGTCAAGTTTAAAGAGTGGAGGGAGGGATTTCCAGGAGCCAGACTCTGGGTCTCTCACCAAGCATATGACTTCGAGGCTGTAAGACATCCTCTTTGCAACCCTGACGTTGCTCAGCTCTGGGTCCCTTCAGCTTAATGATGGGTTCTCTCCTTTTTGCCACCTATGAAGTAGGTCCCACAATGACATTGTCTGAAATGCTCCCAAGTGGTTTATTTACCTGATCACATTAAGACCCATCTATATATTCACTCAAAATTATCCCATGTGGGTCATCAAATATAGTTCCTTATGATTCTTTTGTTGTTGTTTTATTCATGACAAGGTCTTATGTAGCCCCGATTGGCCAAAGATGACCTTAAACTTCCAATCCTCCTGCCTCTACCTCCTCAGTGCTGGAACTACAGACATGAGGTGCTGGAGGTGAAACCTAGGGCACTCTAGGCAGGCACTCTACCAACTGAGCTGTATCCCAGAAAACTAATTCCAATTTAAAGACTGAATAATATAACATCTTGTCTTGCTTCATATCATCTAAGTTTCCATACTTGCTAAACTATAACGTTGGTATGCATGTACGAAGTACCTCAGATTCTATTCACTGTCAATGTGTGTGCACAACCTATTTCCTATGAGCAACTAAAAATGAACGAGACATCTTCTGTTTCTCGGCACTTAAAATTTTCCAGCAAGAAAGGCTAGAAGAGGTGGCGACCCCAGTAAACTGGGAAAGCTCCTGTCGATATCCCCTCTACAGCCCGGATTATATTGTTGATGTTGAGACACTAAGGGCACGCTGCTGCTGCTGTTTAATGTAGGTGTTTTGTCTTAGTTGTTAGCGAGGCAGAACATTTTTCAGGTGTTTCCTCTTTGGTAAACTATCTTGTCTCTTACTATCGAGTTCTCACTAGCTCTCTTAGAAGTTAAGGTATCAAATTCTTAGGTACGTAGATGCTGGCTGTGGAGACATTAAGTAAAAGGGAATTGTTAAAAGGATAGCACAGGATGCTAGCACCAGAAAGCTGGGTTCAAAGGTTAGGAAAAATCAATAGAGCCTGGCAAATGACAACAGCCAAGTCCCCACCCTATAACTGCCTTTAGAAGATGGCATGGCTGACTGTGCTGTCCTGGATGGGGTACTTGTCATCCCTGTCCCTTTCACCAGCCAAATGCACAATCATCCTTATGCCTTTGTCATTCCCTGTGACAACATGGAAACTACATTAATGCCTTCTCTCATGGGCGAGCGGAGTCTATTTCTCCAGCTCCTTTACCACGAGGGGTACAATAAATACATATATGCCATACCGTGGCTTCCATAAGAACTTTCCTTCTATGGACTGGATAAGTGTACCCCAAAGGCCAGCACGTTAAAGATCTGGACACTAGCCTATGGTAGTGTTGTGAGATGGAAGAACCTATGGGAACTAAAGCCTAGTGGGCCATGTCCTTGAAAGGAACATTGGGACACGAGCCTCTCCTCTCCCCACTTCCTGGCCACCATGAAGTGAATAGCTTCCTCGGTCTTGGGTTCCTACCAGGCCCCAAAACAACCAGGACCAAATGACCAAGGATTGAGTCCTCTAAACCCTCCAGACAGAACAAACCTTTTCCTCTATGTTGATTATCTGAGGTGATTTGTCACAGTGACAGAGCTGACATCACTCCTTAGAGTCCATCTACTCCATGTTGTGAGGTTGTGAGGAGGCCCCAGAAGGCCCATGCAAAAGCAGGGCCCCAGACAACCCCCAGAGTCCAGTGTCAGTTCAGGTTGTTCCTGTTCCATTTGCAGGACTGTGAGCAAACCGAAGTCAGCAGTGTTCTAAACTACTGCATTTGAGGGACTCTTAGGCATCAAGGTAGAGCTGGGACAGTCCCTTAGGAGTCAAGCCCTGGACAGGAGCAGCTAGTTAACCAAGCCTGGGCAGACTGAGACTACCAGGAAGCAGGGAGGGTGGCTATTACAGCTTCAGTGGAGAGAGGTCTCGTCCTTCCTCAAGGGAGCTGCCACAGCAAGAAAATCCCTACATAGAAATTGGGGTTCGAGTTCGAGGCCAGGCTGGACTGACAGCCTCCAAAACAATACAGAGAAACCCTGTCTCGTAAAAACCAAAAAAAAAAAAGAAAGAAAGAAAGAAAGAAAGAAAGAAAGAAAGAAAGAAAGAAAGAAAGAAAGAAAGAAAGAAATTGGGGTTCCAACACTAAAATGACAAAACAATCCAAAGTTTCTGTCCAAGTGACACTATGACATCTCTGGAGAAAGGACCCATATGTAAGAAGAGTCCCTAGCAGTAGGGCATCTCTCATAGCCTAGCATTTTGTGCCCTGGAAGCTAGGACACCCTCCCTGAACTACTGCCTGCCTGCCTAGGGAA